TTACATAAGAATGACTAATGACCTAAATACCCTTATCATTAATATGTAAGTTACATTTTAACCAAACCCAAAGATGCAACATTATTGGTTGATGTGGGTTAGCAAAGTTTGCACAAAATATTGGGTTAGTATTTGAACCACCCTCTCTCTATATATATATATATATATATATACATGTATTAATTCAACCTTAATATGAGTTTTTGGACAAGAAATAAGGTAAGCAGTTGGAATTTCATTCTAAAACCCATCTTTTTTTGTCTTTTCATGGCTTATGATCTGTCAAATTTGTAGTTTTCTTTATTGGTTTTGAGTGTTTRTCTTAAAACTCAAGTTTCTTGGTTCTTTGCTCTTGGTGTAAATCGAATACATTTGTGAAGTCGTTTAAATATGTTGGATTTTAAATATATTGGATTTTAAACTGTCATACATTTTTTTTCATCGATAGTTTGTAATTTGAACCATAACTCTTATTTATTCAAATTGTATTAATATGTAAAGACCAAGTGTAACCTATATCATCGTTAAATTTTATCTTATAAAACCAGTGAAACTTCAAAATTGTTAAAATTCATGGCTCCCGCCGCATTACACGGGTACACAACTACTAAATAATAAATGGAGTTATTTCTTTGGACCAAAATGTAAAGAAATGTGTGTAGGGAGACCATTATGTTATTTAAGAAAATTACAATAACAGGCAAAAGAAAATAATAAATATTTCTGTTGGGCCAGGATTGAAATAAGAATCCCACTGGAAATTTGGAGGACGAATGGGAAATGAGAAAACATTATCCATTATTATCCATTCTTAAAAAAATCGTATTGTAATATTTACAGAAACAAAATAAAACAAAATATTAAAATCAAGATATATCTCGTTGTATTATATAAATATCGTTTAGTACTAATTAATTAATTGGTTTTTTAAAGAGTGATAATCGAGTTATTTGCATCCAAATAAGTTAATACTTAATAAATTATTTAATCTAAAATAAATTAATTGGTCCAAGTATTTTATAAAATCTTAATTTATAGAAACACGAGTTCCAAGTTTCAATCAAGCAAAATACTTAAATAGATGACTCGATCCAACTTCTCCATTATTTAAAACTAGTTGTCTATCCGCGCAATGCGGCGGGATATAAGTTTTACATAAATGTAAGCGAGAATACTGATTGACGATTACGACAGATACGTGATTGCCACAGCAAGACCAAACCAACTTGTGTCTATACTTGCACAACCAATCAATCAAATCCATTTGGTTGACATCCATTTGTCATTGAAACACAATAGCTAACCGGTACATGAGATGTTTTCTTTGAAAAAAATGCAAATAGCAAACTTATATCACAAAAAACAACAATTATAAATGTTAAGAGACTTTGAGCATTTGGATAAACGACCCTTAAATACCTTAATCAGAACTTATAAATTAGGATCATAATTTACTTTTAATATTGCTACCAGGTGCTATATATCTTATGTTAGGGATTTGATCTGATTGGATTTGGATTTGATTTAGTGAAAACGGGTCCATCTGTGACTGGATCGGCATGGGGGAAAATGAAGCGTCAAAACATGGGTTTTGTCAACCATGAGAAAGCAGGTAAAAAAACAAATAGACAAATATATTCAGATCTCCACAATTGATTCCCAAGATTTCTGGTTCATGGTTTTTGTCAACCATGAGAAACTCGAGTTCCAAGTTTCAATCAAGCAAAATACTTAAATAGATGACTCGATCCAACCTCTCCATTATTTAAAATTATCTATTAATTAAAATATAACATAAATAAATAAAAATCAATAACTTATATTAATTAAAACTGCTTTAAAATACACAAAAATAATAAAAAGAGAAAAGATAAAAATAACAAAAGAAAAAAAAATGATAATTAAAATAGACTTAGGAATGTCAATAACGGATGTTGTTAGCTCTTATTAAGGTGGTGTTTGTTTTTTTAAAAAAACTTTTATTTTACCACTTATGTCTGATTCGGTCAAACATAAGGCAATTCAGACTGTTTCTTTTTCTTTATCTTTCAGAGCCACTTATCCCTTATTTTCCTCTTAAAAATTAAGTGATAACCTAGCCACTTATTTTCCTCTTAATTTTGAAAACTATCCAGAGAATCGATTTCTACTTCATCATTCGATCGACTTCACCCTCCATTGCCTCCATCGCCTCTGGTGGCTTCAAATCAACCCAAATCATATCCACATCAAGAGGGTTTTCTTCCATGTGGGTTTTCACCATTGTGTGTTTTCGTTCTTGTGCAAATCAGTAGTTGTGCACCTTTATCCTCGTGAATCAAGACATTTCTGTCACTATAGTTTTCATTATAATGGAGATTTGCTTTGACTTTAGAGGTGGATTTGGGCGTTGGATTTTAGAGAAGGAGTGGTGGTGAACGGTGGTTGATGGGGGTGGGATGAGGGTGAAGATTGAGGATGGAAGGCTTGAGCTGGAGGAGAAGGAAATATAAACAGAAGTGAAATCAGAAATTATACATATTCATATGTTTTTTTGGTTACAAAAGCAAACTATTGATTCAGATTTCAGACTTCAACACCATCTCTTAAAAATCAGAAGTGAAATCAGACTTCAAACTTCAATACCTTTTAAAAAAACAAATGCGACCTAATAAAATGATTTTTATTATTGTATGTGATTAATATTCAGGAGCATATCTGGTTATTTGACTATTTGTGCCCTGCCAGTTCCTTGCAATTTATTTGATTTTATTTTTCTATTGCTGCAATAATTGAAAATTTATTAGAAATAAATACGTTCAAACTTCCACTCCCAACATCTTCATAAGCATATTTGTAACAAACAAGTTTATTCATCATATGATTCATCTGGTCGTTATAAAAAATGACACAATATGAGTCACCGTGGTGGCAAGTGATGAGTACCCACAATCACAACCTTACTCCGGTACTAGCCGCCATTTTTGTACTCATCGGGGCCGCCGTTTTGTGGTACCGGTCGACACTTTCGAGCTCATTGCCACCAGGTCCCCGTCACTTGCCGATCCTAGGCTACCTTCCGTTTCTTGACCCTAACTTGCACACACACTTCACCAACATGGCTCGGAGTTACGGTCCCATCTTCAAGATCTGGCTGGGAAGCAAGCTTTACGTTGTGATCAACACCCAGGAACTAGCAAAGGTCGTGGTTCGTGACCAAGATGAGACATTTGCCAACCGTTCCCCCACAATCGCGGCCTTGGCAATGTCTTACGGTGGCCAAGGTATTGGATGGTCCAACAACAACTCCTCCTTGCGTAACCTTCGTAAGATACTTGTCCACCAAGTCCTAAGTAACAAGAATCTTGAAGAATCTGGTTCTATCCGAAGGGATGAAGTTAGAAAAATGATCAGAAATGTTTATAGCAAAATGGGGGCCAAAATCGACATTAACGAGATTTCTTTCTCGATGATTTCCAACATTCTAACAACCATGGCTTGGGGAAAAGATAACCATTTTGGAGTTGAGTTGCAGATTGTGATTTCGAAGATCGTTGAGATGATTGGACGACCAAATCTGTCCGATTTCTTCCCTTTTCTGAAATGGTTTGATCTGCAAGGTGTCGAGCGGGAGACTAAGATGCACTCTAAGAACTTGGATCGACTTTTATCAAACATTATCAATGATCGAATCAAATCGAACTCCGAAAGCTTAGATGTTGCAGCTAGGCATGAAGGAAAGAGAGATCTTTTACAATTTTTATTAGAGCTCAAGGACCAAAAGGATACAACATCGCTTGACATCGACAAAATAAAAGCACTTCTTACGGTAACTAAGCTTTATCCTTTCAAATCGTTTACCATTTGTCATATGTTGTCTATAATTATATCTAAAGTTGCATCATGTGTTAAACTCTGTTGTTTTCAGGACACAATGATTGCAGGAACAGAAACAACAACATCGTTAACACAATGGGCGATGGCAGAGATTATGCATAATCGCAACATAATGAAAAGGGTTCAAGAAGAATTGGCAGATATTGTTGGAACAAGTAACATCGTTGAAGAGTCGCATCTTCCAAAACTGAAATATCTAGATGCAACGATCAAGGAAACATTGCGGTTGCACCCTGGAGTCCCTCTTCTCATCCCGCGGTCGCCAAGTCAGACTTGCACAGTAGGTGAATACACCATCCCAAAGGGTTCTACCGTCTTTGTGAACGTTTGGGCAATCCATCGGGATCCTCGAAATTGGGACAATCCCTTGGAATTCAATCCCGAGAGGTTTTTGACTCGTGAGGGGATGGATAAATATGATTTCAAGGGAAACAATTTAAAGTTTTTGCCATTTGGATCAGGTAGAAGAGCGTGTCCAGGTGTTCCATTGGCTACGAAAGTGCAAACATATATCTTGGCTTCACTCTTACACTCCTTCGAATGGAGTTTGCCCGAGGGCGAAGAGCATGATTTTTCCGATGTGTTTTCCATTGCATTGAAGAAAAGAAAACCACTCGTCGCTGTCCCATCTCAAAGATTGTCTGACGTGAGCCTTTATATGTAAAATCTTGTTGGACTTGTCCATGTGGTCAAGATGACTTAGAGACTTTGAGTTTAAATTCCGCTCTTTCATGGATTCCAGTATGTTCTGTCCATGCTGATCGAATGTTTACCGATTTCTAGTTTGGACCGTGTATCTATTGAATAAGTCTCGATCTATTTATCTTTTCTTTCTAAATATTTTCTTATCTTATGTTTGATCAAGTTTTCGATTCTTTCTCTTTTTGTTGGTTTTTAGTGAATACTTGTTTGTTGTATTCACTAAGGCGTCAAATACGGAAAGATGCATTTTATATGTTAGAAGTGTAGTCGTGCAACGTAGAGTGACACATCTCGATTCTAAAGCCAATAACTCAAACCTTCAATATTATTATATGTTTTTTTCTATTTTATTTTATGATTTTGAACGGTATTGAGAGGGGCATGCACCGTTCTGCAACTCCTAATCCAAACCACAACACCCATCTAAGAATCAAGGTACCACGATATGGAGAAATGACTGATTTTTTCGATCTTTTTAATCTTGGTTCCATACGAGCAAGTCGGAAAGTAGAACCATCTGATTTGATTCGTTCTTAATAGCCATGAAATGATCATCTTAGGGTTATCCTTTTGTTGACTGTTGCTCCTATTACATTCATAGTCTCTGAAGGATGAGAACCAACAATGTTATTTTCCGTTCGTTTGAGAAAAGAAAGGCCTAACTATTAGACCTATACAGACTTATATATAGCACGCCTTAATCGACTGAGCAACACTCGAAATAGAGAGACAAGCATTCGGAATGGAACCTAGATTTGGTACATAAATTAGATTTTTTTTTTTTTGGATTGAGGAAGATGGAAGAACATGATGAAAAACCCACATCTACACATAATTTATTTTTATTTTTAGATTATTACTTTGACACGTCATATTAAAATTCCAGTTACAAGTTTAACTAAATGAACAACAATTTGATTCAAATCTTTAAATAATGATTAAAAGTTGTTCTTCAAAATAAGAATCAAGTGAAAGTTGGTTCTATTTTAATACAAATTTTTTATACGAAAAAATACGAGTTAGAAAATAGAAATACCCATAACCTAGGGTTTGGCGGTTGATATTTGATGAAGATGAAGCCAATATCTCTAGGACTTGGTTGGTAGTCTTCTTGGACAATTTCGTCATTGTTGTCCATGGTGTTGATGTGTTGATATGCTTTATTCTAGTCGAAATCGCCATTAACAACAAAACCACTCTCAGTGGGGAGTGGGGCTATGAATTAGTCACTACCGGAACATCCCGTTTAGAATTTAAAGTAAATTATGATTTTAGTCTTTGTGGTTTGTTGATTTTTTTTAATTTTTATTCTTATATTTTTGAAATTACAAGTTTTATACAAGGAGCAGTAACGACTTGTGCGTTAACAGTTTAATGAGCTTAATGATACTTACAACTATAAATGACTATTTGATAATGACTTAATAATATAAAAAATTACTTATTTAGTAAAGCCATCTCTAAAATAAAAAAAACATTTTTTCTATCTCCTTAGAGAAATTAATCCCACATATAAAGTTAGCAAAACGGCGTCGTATAAGATACTGCTTGGCAGCTTGAGCATACACATACGCCACGCTGATTGTCCATTGGTCTTTAACTCTTTATCTGGATCTGATCCCGGAAAAATCGAAACCCCAAAAAGAACACATCACCAATCATGTCGTACTACCCCAAAGGTCACCACTACGAATCCGGCGACGATGTCGATGACTTTGACGACTACGATTCAACCCCTTATGGAGGAGGCTACGACATCCACCTCACCTATGGCCGCCCTCTCCATCCATCGGAGGAAATATGCTATCCTGTCACCTCAACTTCCTCCAGCGGCTTCGATTATGAAAGTTCCATCTATACCTCCTCCGCCGAGCCCTCTGCATACGGCGTAGAAGCTCTTAACGAGGAATACAAAAGCTATGTTCGATCCAAGCCCCGCCCGGGTCATGCATATGGACGCCCCCCTGCTGCTGTAGGTTACGGCGGTGGATCTGGTTATGGCAGGCATGAGGAGCCGCCTTCTGAGTATGGATCTGGATATGGCAGGCGTCCGGAGGAGCCCACTTCGGAGTATGAATCTGGTTATGGGCGGAGGCCGGAGGAGCCGACTTCGGAGTACGATTCTGGTTATGGGCGGAGGCATGAGGAACCGACTTCCGAGTACGGATCTGGATACGGCAGGAAGCATGAGGAGCCGACTCCGGAATACGGATCTGGATATGGGCGTAGGCAGGAGGAGCCGACTCCGGAATACGGATCTGGATATGGGMGKAGGCAGGAGGAGCCGACTCCGGAATACGGATCTGGATATGGGCGTAGGCAGGAAGAACCGATTTCCGAGTACGGATCTGGATATGGGAGGCCCGCCAAATATGGGGAGGAGCAAACTGAGGAAGCGTATGGTGGCGGTCGAGAGGAGAGACCTAGTTACCGAAGGGGCGATGATGATGAAGGTTATGGTGGGCGTAAGAAACATGTAAGCTCAATAATTCCCTTTTCACTGTGCAATTACACCTTACCTTTGTGATTGAACTTGTTTAGGTGATCTAAGTTCTAAATAACTTGAGGCGTGGCGTGGCGCCGAGGTCAAGCCTCGAGCCTTACGAGTTACGGCAAGGCCATGCCGTTTTTTCAAGGCGTGCCCTGAGACGACACACCCATACACACACACGCACCCTATATATAAAAGTTGCCCCACAACTTACAAAATAAGGTGTTGTAAGGTGCCATAATGTGTTGTAACGTTGCATGACTCGTTACAGTGCAAGTCAAGCCTTAGAGTGGAGCCATGGGGGTTAGCGCGGTCGTAACGAGTTATTAAGAACCTTGATGGTGATTATATCTGTATAGACCATAACTTAATTATTGATCGGAGGTGGTTTAGAATCTTAATTTAAATTGGACTGAAAATGAATTGTTAATGTTATATTACAATATGCAGGGAGACGATGATTCTGATGAGGATGATGAGAGGAAGAAGCATAGGCACCACCATCGCAAGCACTATGATGATTGAGATCGATATCAAGCTCTTTGTTTCTCGAAGCTACTGGTATAAATAAAGCCAACTGGTTTGTGCCTTCTTTTTTATGTATGTTTGCTGTGTGAAATGCTAATTTCGGTTTCGTTGAATTGTGTAATAAAATTCCCATACTTTTGGGCTCTCTGTTCTGATCTTATGTTCACAAGTATGTTTGAAATCTGCTAGAAAGTGTTGCACAGAATTTCCAATATATCATTCATGGTTTTGTATTAGTATGAAGATGTGTGAAAATTAAACATCATAAAAGGAAAAAAAAAAGAATGAATCTTGTATGATATATCTAAAAACTAAATGAGCTTCTTCCTCTGGAAAAATGACTTCAAATGCCATAGCTGCAGACCAGCCACAGATAAGCAGATTACAAGAGAGAAAAAAGTGAAAGTTGCCATCGTCGAACTAGTTGATCTTATTAGATCTTGCATCTCTTCCTCCCTACCAAGTCAAACCAGAATTAACACCACCTTTGGTAGCAAATGCCATGTGCATGTTTTCTAGAAGCAAAACACGCAAACAATGAAGATATGAATTCTGATGCTTACCTCTCACGAAGACTGAACATCTCTTCGTGAACGGTGGTGACCGTATCATACAATTTCCTCAATTCAAGTTCCATCATCTGTCACAAACCAATGCATCCCACATCATGTAAACGAGTACACACAATAAACAATGTCTTTGATGATAACTTAATGGTTTATGTTTGTTTACTTGTAACAAAAATATGAATAGAAGAAAAACTTACTTCAACCTGTCCCTTTTTAGCCACTTTAGACCAATCTTTTGCAGCCAATCCCGATTTCCACTCGAAGTCAATTGACATTATTTTGGTCGGGGATTGCTTAGCCGCCCAGAAACATGCCATGTAATCACCAGCCTCACCGGCAGTAAATGCAAAACTACCCGACGCTTTACGATCTGCATAATGATAATTGTTCCCAAGCGGTGAAGTTACCTATTTGGATCATATCACATAAAATCAATATCCCATTTACACTGATACAACTGTGAAGAACATCTGTTTCATATTTCTCAAAAATGGTTCGTTGTTTATGCAGTTTCCCTAAAAAGCGTAGAGATATTCCATAGAGAAAATTGATGGAAACTAGGAATTAGTCCATGCTTCAAAAAGATGAATGAAAATGAAGTTGTTGAAATGATGTTGGAGGCTGACCCTGACAGTGACGCGATCCTCTTCAGGCAAAGAAAAGCCTTCGACAGGGTTGACGATGCTATACTTGCCGACGGTCATGGCGTTAAGTCTGATGTCCTCGGTTATGCATTTTGTGGCTCCTGATCTTAAATCGAATCTCATCCCCTTCACGGTTGTTGAAGCTAACCCTAATATCATCACCAGAATTGTTGCTATGTTTCTCGATCTCCACATTCTTGAATTTTGGGGGGAAAATAAAATAAGAACCCTAGATTTGGCGAAAGCATAGATCAGTTTTTTCGCTTATTCTCCTTGTCCAAATTTGACGATTATCAAGGAACTGAATCTTGTATGGCATCTTTTGGCGTAATATTGTAATTATTAATATTTGGTTTTTTCTTAACCATTCAGACAACATTTCGTATAAATCTTGTAAATTTATAGCCAACCCACGTAATAAATGGCTGAACCGCTTAAGATTTCATAATCATTGGTGGTGTATAAAATTTGATTTTATTTCAACAAAAATGATAATTTAACGGATAATATTCAAAATAATCGATATTATTCGATCATTCGTCGGATTCAAACTCATTACCTCATCCCAAAAATTGTTAACAAATCTTTAGTGAAAGTGACACTTTTGAATGGCATGAAAAGTTAAATGCTTTCCGGCGAAAACAGTCACCGCCACCGCCACCGGAGATAAGAACATGAACTCATCGGCCGCCGTGACGGGCAGTGGCTGAAACCGCTGGGCGCTGGCTAATGGCGATGACTCCAAAGATCGTGCCAGCCAAAGTGACCGACGAGACGCCGGCGGCTTACAAAGTCAGATCTTTTATTTTGTCTTCTTCTACCCTAATTTAAATCTGTTAATTTGTTTTTTTCTTTTGTGAAAAAGAACAGAAGAAAGCATCAATTGGGCCATGTTTATAATCCCTCCTGAATCATCACCACTGAATCCACACAGAACGATGAAGTTTGGAAAGGAATTTGCTTCACAAATGGTGCCGGAATGGCAGGCAGCATATATGAACTACAACCACCTCAAGATTCTCGTAAAAGAAATCTCTATTTTCCGGCGACTGCAGCAGAATGGTTCACCGCCGTCGAGTCAAGCAAACCCACCACCACCATTACAAGGGTCTTCTATGAAGAAAAAAGTGTCTCTTCACAGAGCCTTCAGTGGACTAACAAACAGCAATCCCGATAACAAGGATAAAGAGGACGAAGTGATTCTGGTAAGTGCAATGCATCAGTCGTCGGAGGAAAACTACCAGACTATTTTTCTCCGGTCATCGGAGGACGGTGGAGAGGCTGAGCTGCATTTCTTCAGAAGACTTGATGATGAGTTCAACAAAGTGATCAATTTCTACAAAGCAAAGGTTGGGGAGATGGTGAACGAAGCCGACGAGTTGAGTAAACAAATGAACGCTCTCATTGCGCTTCGAATGAAACTCGAAGATCCGGCTTTCTGCAGTTCATCTCCTGTATTTTCCTCTCGGCTCTTCGACGAAGAACAAATCAGAGGTTATTTACGACAACTTTATGCCTCACATTTTATGTTTTTTGTGACTATCGTTTACAAAGTACCACAACAATACGTTAAATATGTCTACATGTCATAATAGATCTAATGATTTGTACGACTTTATAAAACCAAACAATTGTCATGCTATGTAAATTTATTACGATAAGTTTATAACATTTTTTGGTCCTTGGTAAAAATTTTAGGATATTTTTGAAATAAAATGTAATATTTTTAATCGATACTTTTCAAAAAGTATCATACAGAAAACTAATTGAAAACCTTATTTCAAAAAGGTATTGTTGAATTTATTATGACCTTCAAAAGCGTTTTATCAACTTATTGTAACATTTTTACTTATGACGTACAATTGTTCCTATAAAGAGTATTAACACATATAGACGTATTCGACATCTATAAAGTCAATTTTGCCTTCTTCTAATGTCTCAATTATGTCTTGTGATCTAAATTGTTGTTTCGATTAGAGGTGATTAGAGAAACCAAGATGCATAGCAAACGGAGAACGGGAAGTGATCACAGAATCGACAAGGAACACGAGATGGTTTCCTTAGGAGTTCTAAACCACGTAAAGATCAACGTTGCATCAGAATCCCCGATATCTTCGTTGAAACACGCTTTCAGTAGTTCAAAATCGGGGGTTTCCTTTAGCAAAAGGGAACTCCGAGATGCAGAACGAAAGTTGAAGCAGGCTTTCATCGAATTCCACCAAAAGCTTCGTTATTTGAAAAGCTACTCGTAAGCTCAGGCATTTACGACGCTTTCCATTGTCCCTTATGCTATTTGATTGAACTTTTCCAGCATTAATTTTGCGACCACTTTCATTCTTTAATTTCTTTTCTAAGACCCTTTGATCATGCAGCTTCTTGAATCGATTGGCTTTCTCCAAGATCATGAAGAAGTACGATAAGGTATCGACTTTCAAATTTAAATTTTGTTGTCTAAGTGGAACATTGCGAAATCTGACACTTTTGTTGGTACAGGTCACGTCTAGAAATGCATCAAAAGCTTATTTAGAGATGGTTGAGAAATCTTACTTGACCCAATCTAATGAGGTATATATGACACTTGGATTTTCTCAAATTTAGCAAAAGATGAAATAATATAAGTCGGGTTTTTTTTTTCCGGCAGGTCGCTAAGCTTGTAGAGAGCGTTGAAGCTGTTTTTATAGAACATTTCTCCAACGGAAACCGCAGTCAAGGATTGAAAATGTTAAGGCTAAAAGCTAAAACAGACAAGCATAGAATTACTTTTTTCATGGGTAAGTTATCACTCTTATTGTGAAAAGTAATTTTACCAACAGAAAAACCGCCACTAAAAATGCATACGACGCCAAACCCATCGCTAACGTAACATTGCAACACGCACATTTGTTGCTTTATTACCAACCGTCAAGAAAAATTATCCTATAGTTTATTTGTTGGTTTCTATGATGCTTAATTCCGGTGTCGCTAAAAATGCGTCCATCATTAATATATTGTGACGCTACAAGTCTCGATAAATCCATTGCACTTGTTTTTTTCTTCTAAAGTATATAGTATTTATATACACTACAAAACAAAAGACTTTCACCAACAAAAATATCCGTCGGTAATCCGTCGCTAAAAATCAGATAGTGATCCATCATATTACCGACGAACACCTGGAATTTCATTTAAAAGAAATAAAATAAAAACAATTTAAAATCCGTCAATAATCCGTCGTTAATAATTAGAATTACCGCCGGATTTTAATCTAATTTTGGAAAGTACCATTTTTGGGCCATCCGTTGATATTCCATCGCTGTTCTGGCGAAAATTACTGACAAAAAGTATCCGTCGGTAATATCCATTGGTGATAAGTCAAATTTCTAGTAATAATACCACCGACACTAATTTTTTGTGAGGTTTGAATAATTGACCTGTTGGGATGTTGGGCTCTACCTGATGCTGGCCGATGACCCATTGGTCATTTCATTCGGTTTTGTTTTTACATTTGTGTGGAAGTAATTAATCCTCGGAACATATTGATGGCCTGTAATACAACTTATGGATTCATTTGCAGGGTGCTTCGTGGGATGCTCGTTAGCGCTTGTCGTGGCCATCGTGTTAATTACACACGCTAGAAAACTTCTCAAGAGCGACGGTCGCGATCAATATATGACTAACGTATTTCCATTGTACAGTGTGTTTGGATACCTCGTGTTACATATGCTGATGTACGCTGGAAACGTGTACTACTGGAAGCGTTTTCGCATCAATTATTCTTTTATTTTCGGGTTCAAACCGAATACTGAATTGGGTTTTCGAGAAATCCTACTTATCAGTTCTGCTCTATCAGTACTCGCTCTTGCAGCCGTACTCTCAAATCTTGAAATGGACATGGATGAAAGTATTAAAAGCTTCAGAACTGTAACTGAACTACTCCCTTTAGGCTTAGTCATCGTAAGAAATTACTCATTCGCCCTCTCTTAACTTCTTACGAGCGAAAAAAACTATGCTGATTAGTTGTAACTTACGTTTTGCAGGTTGTACTTTTGATAGCGGTTTGCCCGTTTAACATTGTTTACCGTACAAATCGTTTCTTCCTGATAACGTGCTTATGGCATTGTATTTGTGCTCCTCTTTACAAAGTTACTCTTCCTGATTTCTTCTTGGCTGATCAGCTAACCAGTCAGGTAAGGTTCGAGACGTTATGAACTTGGTGACGGATCCCAAGAGTCGCAAAAAGTTATTAAATTATGACAGTTTTTATGGTTTCAGGTTCAGTTATTAAGGAATTTGCAATTCTATATATGCTACTACGGTTGGGGAGACTACAAGAAGAGAGAATCCACTAGGTGTCAAGGAGCCCTTTACAACAATGTCTATTTAGTCATTGCTATTATACCTTATTGGATTCGATGCGCGCAGGTATAATCTACAAGAAAAATAGAAATAACTTCGGAAATCGTAAACTGTTGAAATAGATATTTTTCCCGACGTTTTCACATACGGAAGGTTTGTCGCTAATGATTTGGTTGATACCATTAGCCACAAAACATTTTCATCATTATTTCAAGGTATCTGATGGTGGTATTGCCAGCAGTTTTTGAACCGTCGAAATTGCTTATGGCATGTTTATTATGACGCCCAATTAACACGTAATGATTTGTCAGTGCCTACGACGGTTGTTTGAAGGAGAAGACTCGAGTCAAGGTGTGAACGCACTCAAGTACTTGTCGACAGTTGCTTCTGTTATCACGAGAACGTTTTACGCTCAAAAGAAAGGATTGACATTGAAAATCATGGCTGCATCCACATCAACCGTGGCTACAGTTTTCAACACCTATTGGGATTTGGTGTGCGATTGGGGTCTTATACGAAGAAACTCCAAGAACCCGTGGTTAAGAGACAGACTCCTTTTGCCACACAGATCTATCTACTTCTTAGCGATGGTATTTAGCATTCGCGACAGTTTTCACCTTTCGCGACATCCCATTGATTATTTTCAATGATCCTTTGTTTTTCCATCAATGACTTCACAGGTGGTGAACGTGATACTAAGACTAGCTTGGATGCAAACCGTGTTAGATTTTCACGAAGGGCCGTTCCTTCATCGAACGGCATTAACCGCTATGGTCGCGAGTCTGGAGATCATTCGCCGTGGTGTATGGAACTTCTTCAGGCTGGAGAACGAACATTTGAACAACGTCGGAAAATATCGAGCCTTCAAATCTGTACCATTACCTTTTAGTTATGAGAACCACAAGGATGTATAAACAAAAACGTTGCTCAATAAACAAATAACAAAAGTAATTTTACGAGATATTTAGATCGGATAAAATTTTTCCGGACCGGGTACTTTTCGCTTAAAAAATCTTTCCATTTTGATCAAGAGAAACTTCAAATGACAGCAAACATTGACAACATATATTCAAACAAAATGAAGAAAGCCAATATTCATTCAATGAATACCATGGGGAAATGTAGGAGCAACCTGCTATGCGAGCCGATTAATCCTAGGACGACCACATGTTTCGCGAGTAGCCTGAAGTCACCCCATTTGAACTTTCGTGGCCACAATGGGATTCTTATTCCTCCTTGAATTCGAACATGAGACCTCCAGATACTTTTGACATTTGGAAGTCAAGCTCAAACCAATCGAACACCATATTTGTGGTTCATGCTTTCCTTTTGATGTCACAGGGTTTGATTTTTGATTAATTTCATTTCATATTGTTTGAATTCTTGATTTTCAATTTATATCTAAACTTATGCTGGTGATGAAGATGGCAGGTGGATGTGACACTGACAATCGGTCGTCGTCAATGATAGAGGCGATGAGAGATTAAAGGATAAAGATGAATTTGGATGAACAAACAACATACAAAAATTATAAAGTTGTGGAACATAAAATCAAAATCATACGGTTTTTTGGTCATAAAATTAAGTTTCTTATTTGATGTATTTTACTTTTTGAATTTTATGAACTTTGATATAAAAAAATAAAATTCAAGAATAAATAGAGGTTGAAAACATTGGATTGAATTTGAGAATTGAGAAATAGTTGAGGGACTAAATTTGTAAATTATTGTTCAGACAAACGTCTTGGGGGTTGTGTGTTTACCTCTTAATAATTCTACTAAGAGGTGAATCTTGTTTGGCAAAAAAAAAGTCTACCTCTTAATGGTTCTAAAACTCTTTAAATGATTTTGTATCATAAATCTCACTTAACTATTAAAAGCCTTAATTTTATTGTACACAATTACCAAATAATAATATTTCATTTTGCACTATATCATGAAAGTCTCTTAATCATTTTGACCACTTAACCATTCTATACTAAACCATTCAACAATTGCTAAACATTCCCTTAGTTTGAACATAACATCCCCATTACTTGACGTTTTTAATAAGTTATTACTATTATAAAAAGTTATTGGAAAACTTGTTTACGTAAATAGAATATTTTTTTGTCGAAAGGTACCAACCGGTTGGCATACAACTTTTTATAACTATGTTTTCATTTTGCACCTTTCTTATCATATTTTAAATAATTAAACTAATTTATTAAATATATATAACTAAAAAAATATATTTTATAATAAAATACATTATTAAAAAGCTTTTATTAAACGATCAAAATAACAAAATACATTATTAATCGCCTTTCATTCTATTAAGGAACTCATTCTTTTAATATTAAGTAATTTCTATTTTAAAAAAAATATGACATGAACTTTAAAATGATAAATTGAATAAGGATTTTTATAAAAATTTAAAATAGATAAAGTTAGATTATAATGTAATTAATTTGGGATTATTTTTTTTTGCTTTGGAGACGATTTATAAAAATAGATTTTTATTTAAAAAAAAAAGTTGCGTAATAAAAACAAAAACAATCGTTTGAATGGGTTATGCATTATAGCTGCTGATCAGGTCCATCCATATACAACTCATCTTAGGTGGGGCCCACTGGGCAGAGCAGCAAATTGCCATCTCCATGGACCTTTTGTTCTTTTTTGGAAACAATCCGGTCCATGTCAATGATATCGATTTGGTTCCAAAATAGACGGAGTTATTATTGTTTTTTTTTTATGAAATTAAATTTATTTAAAATCTTCCATTTAATCTAAAGATATTTTAGTCTTTTTAATTTACTAGAAGGGTACTTGCGTAATATAATAAGATACATCTCAATTTTAATGTTTCATTTTATTCTGTCTTCATCAATGTTATAATACAATTTTATATACTACTAAAAAAAGATAATGTTTTTATTTTTTAAATAAGAGATAAATTTGAAGGTATCATAAAATCTTGAAAAAAAAATGTGTAGTATCAAATTAAATATCTAAAAGTTATTGTGTTTTTTTTTTTTTTGTGAAATTGCTTTAATTCAATTTTTTTATTATAATTTAATTTAGATTTCATAATGAAACCATTTAGTTTTCATTTAGTAATATAATTTTTTATGAAGATAATAATTAGTATTTTGTTAGAATTCAATTATTATCTTAAATATATTTTAAATTTTTTTATATTTAAAATGAGATACTTATCCAATATTTGATTATGTTTATCTGCAATTAGTTACACGAATTCAAATATGAAACTTTAATAAGTTGTACATACACACAATTTATTTGTAACCTTGAATTTTAAGTAATATGCATCAATAAACCGTACTTAATGCATAAAAAAATATTTTTAAGAGTTTTTGTCAAATGCTTTATAATATAGTATAGTTTAAGGGGTCGTTTATCAAAATTCTAATTTAGATAAGTGTATATCGACAAAATTTAGCACCATCACTTATTTACGGATAAAATTTTAGTCCATCAAAATGTTTTTTTATACAACAATTTATCTGGTAAGCACTAACCGTAGTAAGAGTCATCGCACTCACTTTCCGGGTAAAATTCTTGGTCCTTGCATTCGCTCTTACCGGGTAAGATTTTTCATCTTTGTTATATTCATCCGGTAAAGTAATATAATTTGATAAATACTTACCCGAGTAAGCGTTTGGTAAATGACCCCTAAATATCTTTTTTGGTTTCCCTTTTCGTATTTTAGTTCTTTTTATTTAATAAAATAAATTATATTTTTGATAAAACAATTAATACATAAAAGGTCATATGCTTTTGTTATTGTCAAGATGATTAAATATTTTTCAATTTATAAATTAAAGGGAAAATGATAACATGAAATTAGGTATGGTAATGGCCCCGGCCCCCGTTCCCAATCCCTCATCTTTGTTCCCGTCCCATCTTCATCCCTATCGAATAATTTGATCACATCTTCATCCTTGTCTCCAACGGAAAATGGGGAAAAGGGGATTTTTTCTTAGTTTGTGTAAGTTTTTTATTTAAATCAAATGTGTGAGACGTTACGGGTATGGGGCGGGGCGAGGAGTAGGCATGGCAATGGGGTGGGGATGGGGTAGGTTTTGTAATCTCCGGTCCCGGTTTGTAGTAACATTCCTCGGCCCCGGCCCGGGTCCCCGGCGGGTACGAGGATTAACATCTCGTCCCCAGTCAAACCTCTATCAATCCTTGGTCAAAACCCGGTCAAACTCTGGCAAATCCCCGGTTAAACCCCATGAAGAACATCCCTTAGTTTTGATTCTACCGGGGATCCCCTGCCCCGACCCTGGTTTGAGTCTACCGGGGATCCTCGGCCCCGGGACCCATTTTAGCGGGGAATCCTCGTCCTTGTTCAAGTCGGGTGAACCAGGTTCCCCACCGGTTCGGGGCAAATCAATATCCCTAACGAGGAGTGCGATATCCGTCCCGTTTCTCATCTCGGGTTTGAGCCAAACAGGGATTCTCGTCCCCCTTCCCAAAACCCGATTTAATAGAGAATCCCCGTCTTCAATCGAAATGAGTGGATTGGATTCCCCAATAGATCAGGACCAATTCTCATACCTACATGAAATGCTAATGATTCAATTTGCATGAATCCGTCATGATTTATATTTCTTTCAAAAAAATATAAGTAATTGGTTTTTTCATTTATTATACAATTTATTTTTTGAAAGATTTTTATGGATAAAAGCAAGGTGGAATTTGATTCATTTTTTAGATCCTTCCTCCCTTTTAAAAAAAATAAAAAAATACATTAACAAATGGACCATTTGACCTTCAATCTTATTTTGCAACCATCTTCAAAACTTTCATTTTGAATGGTCTAATTTTAAAAATCTTTCATGTTAAAAACATTTAAATTAATTCATTTCATTTTCTAGAACTTAAATTTTGTCAACGACTCCATTTATGAATTTCTTCTCTAATTCATCCCCTAAATAAAAGTCTTCATAATTGGTTTTTTCAAAACAAAGATTAGAACAAACTTGTTCAAACCCAGACATCCCAATTCGAAAAAACCAAAAAAAAAAAAAAACTCAATCTAAGGTAAACAAACAAATAAATGATACAAAATTAGGTCAAACCACATCTATTGGGTTGAAAATGGGTTGGAGTTATTTGAACCCAACTCAATCCGATGAATCCGATGTCTTTATATGTTACATATTTAATACAATTGTTAAATTTTTGATTAATATATGTACATTGGATTAACCCGTAATTAGCTATATTCAAAATTATATTACAATTTCAACCGTAATTTTTTATTATTTACATGAATTTTCAACTGTTTTGAGTTTGTTAAACTTTTTTGTATGTTTCCATTTTGATTTTACCCCCGTTAAAACAAAATGCTTAGCAAGACTATAAAACGATATACTAAAGTTTCTACCCCGTTCAACCAAACCCAACTCGCATGGTTTTGGGTTGTAGTTTTGGTCAGGGTTAGATTGAGTTGAAATTTGTCAAATCACAGACATTGGCTTGGATTGTTCAAAAATCTTCAACTCTACCAATCCAGTCCATGTGTAGTCCTACCGCTTGGAGCTTAATGGGTCTGTGCGCCTAGAGTGAACTACAAATTTGATCCCATGTGGTTTGTCAAAAGTAACATATTTTGTCCTTGTAATTTTGAAATTACAAAATGATTATCGTGGTTTGCAAAATGTGGATTTAGTCATTTCCTCTAATGGTAATTATTTCAGGTAAATAAGGGGTATTTCCGTTCTTCTATCAATCTCTTTCGTCTCATTTAACTAAAATTTTTAACGATCGTTAAATAAATGGACCAAGTGTCCAAGTCAAGACGTTTTTACAAACCACGATGATTATCTTGTAATTTCGAAACTCTAAGGATGAAACATTTTATTGTTGACAAATCATATGGACCAATTTTGTAGTTTATTCTAACATTTACTTCGAAATAAAAAAGTCCAAATTATACTCGAAAGCATAATTTGTTTATTTATTTTCATGGATGGATTACCAAAAAGAATAAAATAATTGATTGCATTTATTTTGATATCGAGTGGCTATGGCGGTCTGTCTTAAACTTCGAAATTGACATGCCTGTCCATGTCTTCTAATCTTGAAGCTTCACCATTCAACAAAACATCACCGTTTCTATTTTGATGCTTTCAAGAAACTTAATCATAAAGCATCTCCTTTGATTCGAATTGGGAAAAACCCAACATTCAAATGAAATTCGGGAAGGAATTTACTTCACAAATGGTGCCGGAATGGGAGGGAGCTTACATGAACTACAGTCACCTCAAGACAATCTTGAAAGAAGTCTTGATTTTCCGGCGATGGAAGCAGAAGCAATCACCTCCATCGCCTTTCACACCTCGGAAAAGAAACTTGTTGAAGAAAAGCACTTTTTACAGAGCTTTTAGTGGACTAACAAATCGACACAGTAATTACAGCAACAATGACGATGAAGACGAAGCGATTCTCGTGAGTGAAATGCAGCAGCAAGAACTACCGTCGGCGGAGGGGGAGAGTTACCAAACTTTGTTTCTCCGGTCATCGGAGGAAGGAGCAGAGAATGAGCTTGTGTTCTTCAGAAAACTTGATAATGAGTTCAACAAGGTCATCCATTTCTACAGAGGCAAGGTGGAGGAGGTGGTGGTGGAGGCAGAAGATTTGAATAAACAAATGGATGCTTTCATTGCCCTTCAAATCAAAATCAATGATCCCAATTTTCAGAGTTCATCTCCATCTCCATCTTCAAATTCAGGTAATCACTCAAGAACATGCTAAAGAAACATGTGTTGTTAAGATGTTCATGTTGTTACTAATTTTGGATGTTTTTAAGGTTCACTGCCATTAGAGGAGATTCAAGAACTTGAAGGAAGACCAGAAAGGGACCAACAAAAGAGGGTTTCTTTAGAAATTCTAAATCACGTAAAGATCAATGTCATTCCAGAATCTGCATTATCCACGTTGAAAAATATTTTTGATGGCACAAAAAGCGACTTATCATTCAGCACAGGAGAACTCAGAAACGTACAGATGAAACTGAAACAGGCTTTTGTAGAATTCCACAGAAAGCTTCGACTTCTGAAAAGCTACTCGTAAATCTAATCAACATTAATTGAAAACATTAGCAACAAAGTGAAAAATCATTTTGAATCTGTGTTTTCTTTCTTCTTTGACAGTTTCTTGAATCAATTGGGTTTCTCCAAGATCATGAAGAAGTATGATAAGGTATTGAATTCTTAAATTTTATCGAATTCGATCTGATTGCGTGGTGGCTCAAAATTTGACATTTTTGTTGGTGTAGATCACATCAAGAAACGCATCAAAAGCTTATCTAGAGATGGTCGAGAATTCTTACTTGAGCCAATCTGATGAGGCATCTATTATCTAACCACCATCTATGATATTTTAAGATCAGCCATTTTTGTGCTTTAGATTTGCAGATCAATCAAGAAGTCTTTTTTCGGTTCTTTCAGGTTGCTAAGCTCATGGAGAGAGTCGAAGCTGCATTTATAAAGCACTTCGCCAATGCAAATCGCCGTCAAGGAATGAGGGACTTAAGACCAAGAGCTAAAAGAGACAACCATAGAGTAACATTTTTTGTGGGTAAGTTGTGGGTACCAAAGAAAATGTAAATCTTGGAATCCCCTTGTGCCATTTCCGTTCACTGTAACAAAATCAGCTTTACGATATCAAACATGTCTAAAATCTAAATCTGCTAATAGACTCTTTTACTAAACTCAAGTTTATAAAACCAAATAATTGTACGTCTCATACAATAAGATGATATGACGTTTTTGGGCAGGTTGTTTCTTTGGCTGTTCAATAGCACTTATAGTGGCAGTCATCCTAACGGTACATGCTAGAGACCTTCTCCAAAGTGAAGGTCGTAACCAATACATGACCAACATATTTCCGTTATACAGTTTGTTCGCATACATTGTGTTGCACATGCTAATGTATGCCGCAAACATATATTTTTGGATGCGTTATCGTGTCAATTACGCCTTCATTTTCGGGTTCAAGCCAAGTACGGAATTGGGTTACAAAGAAATCCTACTTTTAAGCTCTGGTCTATCAGTACTCACTCTTGCAGCTGTAATCTCAAATCTTGAAATGGAAATGGATGAAAGAACTAAAAGTTTCCAAGCTCTGACTGAATTGGTCCCTTTAAGTCTAGTCATTGTAAGAAATTCCTTCCTTCCTATCTTTTGAATTCGGAACACCGAAAAAAGTGTGCTTATTAGTTGTAACTTATGCTTTGCTGCAGGTTGTGCTTCTGATAACGTTTTGCCCGTTTAACATCATCTATCGTACCAACCGGTTCTTTCTTATAGTGTGTCTATGGCACTGTGTTTGTGCTCCTTTTCACAAGGTCAATTTCCCTGATTTCTTCTTGGCTGATCAGTTAACTAGCCAGGTAATTGTCTTACTCTTCCATCGCACAATGGTTTGAAAGGGTAATTGGCCCAGCATTACGTGAGTTATTGGTACAACCCAGTCTCCTAGGAGATCAAAGGTTCAAACTGGTTCAGACTTACAGGGTGTGTGAGTAATATTATAGTTGGTCTGAAAGGACTGCAAACATTGAGTTGATGCCCTCGATTTCATGGTTCCAGGTTCAGTTATTGAGGACTTTGGAATTCTATGTCTGCTACTATGGTTGGGGAGACTTCAAGAAGAGAGAAAACAGATGTGACCAAAGTGATGTCTATAAGACTTTTAATATACTTATAGCCGTTATCCCGTATTGGTTTCGATTCTTACAGGTAACTGAACTTCATATACATATATATACACTCCGGTTCGGGGCAAAACTGTAAAAGAAAATGAAAAACCGAGTAACATCAATATGCACATGTGCATAAAAGTAATTCGTAAGCAATTTGTCTGGTATGCACTTGTGCATAAAAACCAGAAAGTAACTTCAATTACTTTAATGCACATGTGCATACTCTCCAGGTGAATGGTTACCGAAGTGTTCTTTTCATTTTTTTGGAGTTTTCCCCTCGAACCTCCTTCTATACCATCATTAAGCTGTACGATTTCAAATGGTCTAATATTCTCGCATTGTGCGTCAGTGTTTACGGCAATGGTGGGAACGGAAAGAGTATGGTCAAGCTGCAAATGGACTCAAGTACTTGTCGACAATTGTTGCTGTAGTCACAAGAACGATCTATGTTCAGAGGCCAGGATTGGCTATAAGAATCATCGCTGCATCCAGTTCGGTTATTGCTACAGTTTTCAACACCTACTGGGACATGGTGAAGGATTGGGGTCTTCTTTGTAGGAACTCCAACAACCCTTGGTTAAGAGACAAACTTATTTTACCAAATAAATCGGTCTACTTTATAGCAATGGTACTATTACCATTAACCTGTTCTTTAATTCGGTCCCTTGACCCAAACCTTTGTCGGGTCGGGTCTCCAGACCATTCTGGTTCTTTTGATCGATCTATTCATATATATATATATTTTTTTTCATGAATTTTGATGCAGGTACTGAATGTGATATTGAGGCTTGCTTGGATGCAAACGGTGTTAGATTTCCACGAAACTCCTACTCTCCATCGAAGCACAGTGATATTCATATTTGCCGGTTTGGAGATCATTCGTCGTGGTATATGGAACTTCTTCAGGTTGGAAAACGAGCACCTGAATAATGTAGGGAAATTTCGAGCATTTAAATCGGTACCGCTGCCTTTTAGCTACGAAGACGGGGACAAGGAACTATGATTTGTTTCGTATTCAATTGCTAGTTTTGTTTTACATACGTTTCTGATTCATTTTTATTTTAAATTGCTTCCGATAATTTAATAAAAAAAATCAATACTTATTTAATTTATGACACTCTCTATCCTTTTGAAGCGCCTTCGTATTAAACGATCATCATGAAAAAGGTAAATTGTGCATCCCAACGACAGGTTGGTTGGTTACTCAAAATAAACACAGAAAGTCAGAGATGTGTAATTTGATGCGGATAGCGAAATTTTATTAATATTCAAAGGCATATTATTGTTTCTGTTATGATTTTGTGAATAAAAGTCTAAACCATATTAAACTATCAACACTCTCAAAAGAAGAAATTCAATTATGTGGTAAATCGCCCCTTTAGATCCGAGTATTTCTCATACATGCAAATAAAGCGGGACGGTTTTCCCATCCCCGTTAATTCATAAATCCAGAGGGTGGGATTGAATCCATGAAGCCAAAGTTGCTAATAGCTTGATCATTAAGTCATAAACAAACACTCTCATAAAGCTAGATAAATAAGTTTTTTTTATACCATTAAGTTCATTAAACCCACAAACTTACAACTCTTTTGTAAGCCCAATTTTGTTAAGAGTTGTCTAAGTAACTTCTCTCTCCAAGTCAATACAAATGCAAGGTAACGCTATCGCTATAGATAGGAAACTGAATCGTATGATAAATATATAAATTGAATATAAACATCTTATTTTATAAAATTACAACGAAATTAAACACATAATATTTTGGAACATTTTAAAAGATTTCAAATATTTGACGAGGTACACTTGTAAAAACCTATGTTTAAATCAAGAGTGACCGGTTTTAAAAGTAACAAGTTATTTATTGCTATAAATTAATAATAATATATATATATATATATGTATATGTATATGTGTGTGTGTGTGTTTGTGTAAAATAAAGAAAAATAAAAAGAAATTTTATGATGATATGTTATACTTTCGTGTAGAGATGGCTAAATAGGACTCCGGCCCAGGACCGGTGGAGGACCGAGACCATGACCGCCTTATGACCGGTCCGACATGGGATAGTTTGGGATGGTTACAGTTTTCGTCAAAAAACAAGGCCCGGCCCGGCCCGGCCTGCATTTTCCAAAAAAATGTATTTTTAAATTTATTTATTATTTTTGAAGTGTATTTGATTGAAAACCAATTATAAAATTATAATAGAACATATTATTTAAGTGTATTTAATAGTCCTATTACCCTCTATTCACTATATATAAGTCACATGATGTATAAGGAAATATACCAACTCATAAATGTTTACGGTTCTCGTAAAATATGTATTTTTAAATGTATTTAATTGATCTATTTACATATTTTCAAGTGTGTTAGAACAACACTTTTGTATTCTTTAAAAAAACTTCAAAAAAAATTACGGAAAAAATCAAATTTTAATTTTTTTAGATAGGACCGGTTTGGGTCCAGCTCGGAACAAAGACTCTATCATAATCGGGCCTCATACATCTTAATCGGGCCTCATACATCTTAATCGGGCTTTCGTATTTGAATTGAAACCGGACTGATTATGTCAGCACCGGATCCATTGGATCACTATTGTGGAATCAGGACCGTTCTGGACCTAACCTGACCCGACCCGACCCGGAACCGAATTTTTTTTACCACCTCTATTCTCTAGTATCATGTATTTAATTATTTAAAAAGTACTCCAAGAACAAGCCCAGCCCATTATTAGAAACTGACGACGATCGATGTATGGTTGAAGCCCAAATAAAAGTGCCCTAATATTTTGGGACTGAATTCTGAAGTGAAGATCCTCTACAAATAGTCAGACCGCAACTTGGGTTAATTTGGACCTTCGTCTTCTCCTATCTTGCCGGCGTCCATGGACACTGTTGGTAAGTGTATGTCTCATATGTTTCTCTGCCTGCTTCCCTGAATTTAGGCCCGTTTGTTGTTAAGATAAGTTTGAAACAGATTTCTACTTTGAACGAAATGCACGAGTACTAAGGTCTCGTAATTGCAAAATAAGGTTTACGAGTGCCTTTTAATTTATCGTGCGACAGAAATCGATGGGAACCGCTTTGCAGCCTTGATTAAACACTGTTCATTGCTGCCTGTAATGCCCTCACAATTTTGATTTCAAGTCTATGATTTCGTTTTTTGAGCAATCAGTTTCTACGTTCTCCATCATGAATTAAATTATTATTTAGGCGAATCGATACCTGAATAATTGTCTATCATCTGAACCAGATCAATATAAGTATCAACTGTATAATTCTTAAAACTAATGGAAGAGAAGCAAAGGAAGCTGAATTCATATGAATTGCATTTTCTTGTAGACCAAAATCCTACAGATCTATGTATTTTTATTTAAATAAACGCTTTCAAACACCTTACAGATCTATAAGAGAGTCAGATGATGAAGAATTTGCCAGATTAAGAATGTTATCCCAGTAATCCTTGTTTTTGTCTTCGGAGCAGTCCTTGCTATTTTCAGTAGGTCCATTGCAACCAAAACCAGTATCTAGATGGTCAAATTTGGTAAAGTTTGAGCTGCTTAACAGAAGTTCTGTAAAATGCTCCAAGAAATTGACATCTTGGTTGTTGTTGCTTGATTTTAATGGCTCAGTTGTCCATATGTTATCTATACTAAATTCATTAAACCCCATTCCATTCTCATCATCTTTATAATCCCCAACTTCTTCACATCCTTCACATACAAGTTCTTCATTGCAAGACCCCATTGAATTGTTGCCACAGTTGAATCCGGTTGTGCCACCGTTGAATCTGGTTGTTGATGTGAATGATGATGATTCTGAATCTCCTCTGCGATCCAAAATCCCATTCAATGTCTTTTGTATATCAAGGTATCTTGGAGGTGGCTTAGATGTAGAGGCTAGTGACAACATAATTTTGTTTGGGAGTTGGGTCATGGACCGGATCTTTGATTGCTTTGCCAATCTGGCTTCGGCTTCTAGCCGGGCACTCTCCCATTGAGCCATGTGGCTCAAATTAGCATGGCTTTTTGTGTGGCCGTCGTTGGACAAAAGGGTATCGTTTTTTGGCTTGTGGTTCACCGGATCAATCCCCATTTTGATTAACCGTTTTTTAAGATGGGTATTCCAGTAGTTCTTGATTTCATTATCGGTTCTCTTTGGTAAATGAGCGGCTATGGCGGACCATCTTTAAACAAGAGGAATCAAATGAAAGTATAACAAATTAACATACATGACTTGTAACAACAAAATTAAATCAAACAAATTACAACTATAGGAATAATCGAAACATAATAGCAAGATCAATGTACCAAAATATTTGGCTTTTTCAAGGGTATGTTTGTTTGCAATTTTACGAGCTTAACAAGACTCGTAGCTTATTCAATCAGTTATATATGAAATGTTTGGTAATGGTTTGATGATATAAAAAGTTATTCATTGGGTAAACTTTAGGAAAGAGTGTTGTACAAAAAGTGAAGTTTAATTCAAACATGTCATTTCCAATTAAAAATACTTGGTTTTCACTTTTCCATCTATGAAAATATCTTTTCAATTTATAAAAGACAAAATTAATTCATAAAATCACTTTATTCATATAAGACTTGATGAAAACAAATCAAACCCATGGAAAACCAACCAAATAACTGAACTCAAATGGGCTGTTTGGTTGGTTTTTCATTAAGTCATGTTTAAATAAACTTGTCTATGTGTACTAACGTGTCTGTATAGGTTGATTGTTTTTGTTTGAAAGACTTTTTCAGATGGAATGAACATGTTTTTCATTAAGTCATGATGGAGGGTTTTTGATTTTTTATGATTTTAGAAGAAAAAGAACAAAAGGTAAAATATTTTCATATAAAGATAATATTATTAAAATTTCTGAATAAAATCCACAATATATTCAAAAATAGTAATTTAAAATGCAATATACTTGAATTTAGTAATGGAGATTTGTTATTTCAAAAATGGGTTTAAATTATGAGAAAAATTGAAGTAAAAAAATACCTGTTACCCAAGAGAGCATGAAGCTGAATGATGGTCTGTTCTTCTTGAAGACTGAACTTTCCTCTCTTGATATCTGGTCTAAGATAGTTTATCCACCTTAATCTGCAACTCTTTCCACATCTCTGCAGCCCTGTGTGTGTGTGTTTCCCAATAAATTTCATTAACACCACCACATTTTCCTTTGAAATTGGCAAATTGCTATTTCATAAAAAGAGAGATTGAGATTGATGATAGAATACCAGCTTTTGAAGGCAAAGCTCTCCAGCTGCCATAGCCATATTCTTGAATGTAAGCCAAGAGCTTCTGATCTTCTTCGGAGGTCCATGGTCCTTTCTTCAATCCAATCTTATCACAGCAGGGTGATCTTCCCATTTTCTTGGTGTCTAAATTGTGGGGCTTATCAAGTTCAAGTAGAATGGTGGAGGGATTCTGTTTATATACTTGGTTACCGCTTACAACCACATACTTTCTGTTTCTGCAGCAGAGGAGAAGAAACATGGGCTGAAAAGAATTGTCAGCGACATAGATGGCATAAATATAGATAATAAAAGTTTGTCAAATAATTTTCGTAATGAAAAATATGGTTTAGTTTGATATACGTAGGAGTGTCGATTGTCGATTTTGTACTAAATCCGTCCACCAAGACTCAACCAATCCTCGTATCAGTCGTACTAATTTAATTGGTACCAATTTAATTGGTTGGTAGTATCATATCAACTATCTAAACTTTGGTTGGTATGTGGTATTAGAAGTCATGTACCACCATTATTTTAATTATTTATTAATAAATGTTTAATCAATAATACGACATTTTCACTTTAAGTTTTAAATCATCTTATTATAAATTTTGCTAAATTATAATAAGATGGATGTATAAAACTTGGTGGAATTCGTTCGCCAACTTCTAACAACCTTAATAACTCGTCGACACCTCCATGGTCCATCATTGCTCATCAATTCCCGCTTGTATTATATGAAGATAAGTTGAATGTTTGTATAAGTAGTGATAAGTGGTATAACACATATCAACATGTTTTTTTGAATGTTTGGTGGTTTTAATGCATCTAAATTTAGCTTGTAAAAATGTAAATTTTAATAAATATGTAACTCAAACTTTTGCGATATTGGTACAAAACAACCAAATGAAGTTGGTTTTAGTTAGTTGGTTGATACATGTATAAACTTTTACATACTTATTATAATTGGTTGGTACATAGTATATGAAAAACAACATGATACCGTACCATGTCCCCCTAGATATATAATATAATTGGTTCATTACCTCAAATCCATTAATTCCAGTACCTAACCAAATTGGTGGGGAATGAAAATTTTATTTCCACTTGGTCCATCTCTCTAAGTAGAATGGAACGTATTTTCTATTTTCACTTTGGATAGGACAGAGATTGACCCAATGTAGAGCACACAGTAGCCCGTGCCACCGTATTGTTCAGTGCTTGGTCTCATTCTTCTGATTTTTAGTTTCTTTGTATTATCATATCTTGTTTTGGGCCATCAACATCCATTATAAAACGTCAGTTTACCAAATGCTAACCATATAAGCTTTTACCTAGTCATTTACCTCAAGTTATTGTGTAAGCATTATAAGGATCGACAATTTTACCTAGTAAAATGCATGATATTGATCGATAATCATACCTGGTAACTCAGTAAGTAACTGTAGTATCTCTTGTGTGATGAGATCGTTGTTACGAGTTGGTTGGCAACAAATGTGTACATCAAAGTAGTGAGGTATCATTTAATAACATATTGACTTCAATATTCATAAAATTGTTGTAAAAAGAAATATGTACATTACTACACATTGATAGATATAAGTCATAAGTTATATCATTTTATAATTGCATATTATTTTATAGATGAAATGGTTTTGGTTGAAAATATTGAAGATAGTAGTAGTGGTGTAAAAAATTGCTAAATTTGTATAAAAAGGCAACTAGTGGCACCAACAAATGTGAAGACTACATATGCTATTCAATTGTATTGACTATTGAAATTGAATATACAATGTCAATGTCATTTGTGAGGGTAGGGTCGACATTTCACAAACACATTCAAAGCTGTAGGCCCTTTTTCCTCTTTATTCATCTTCCATACTTGTATCTAGTAATGGCCAAAAACCAGTCCGGGCCGGTTTCAACCGGTTCCAACATTTCTCATAACCGGTTTTGACGTAATCGATCGAAAAAGTTGAGCCCGGTCAAGCTTTATTGTAACCTGTAATAAGCCGCCGGTCCCAATCATTAAAAAATAATTTTTTTATTTTTATCTTTTAAATGACATTTTTTAATACATTATAAATTTTTTAATTGAGTCACTCAAATACACTTTAAAAATGCGTTTCATTATAATTAAAGTTACATTGTCTTACAAAATATAGTGAGAAACCGATAATTGTGAACGTTTTTTTTTTGCGAATCGAGAACTTAGTATGTAAATCCTTCAACCAAGACACTTATATATAGTGTTTAAAAAGCAAAAAAATACAAAAAAGGGCCAAAAAACAGTTATTTTTTGAAAAATAACTGCTACAATTTAAAAAAAAAGAGTACCTATATTTTTTTAAAAAAAATGGGGCCGAGCCGGGCTATAACGGGTCCTGGTCCTGCAAAACACCCCAAATCCATAACCGGTCCCAGATTTCGGTCCTATAACCGGTCCCGGGCTAGGGCCGGACCGATTTAGCCATCACTACTTATATCCATCCAACTTAATACATCTCCTTTGCAAGTCGTATCATTAATAAAGAACCAAACTCATTTCTTAATTTTCTTCACATTCTACTTATAGATTAGCTTATATGTTGTTTTTGCTTAAATCCTTTTTATGCATTCTTGTAACCATCACATTTATATATATAGAGAGAGAGCGTTTGGTTCAAATACTAACCAATTTTTGTGTGTTAACTATGTTAACCAAGCTCAACCAATTTTTATACATTCTTGTAACCATCACACACACACACACACACACACACACACACACACATATATATATATATATATATATATATATATTGCAAGTTCATTTGTTAACCTAAATTATTTGTTAACCAATCTTGACCATTGATTTTTGAAATTTGTGGTTAAGATCATTCATGACATAAAGTGTATATAATTGCACACATAGACAAAGTAACATACGTGAACAATATTTACAAGGGGTATTTTAGGAAAAGATTTTAGTTGTCCATTAATGACAATGAGGTGTTTTGTAACCGCCCATTAATGAAAATGAGATGTTTTGTAACTGCATATTAATAACAATGTAACTATCAGATATTTAATCTCGTTGTCGAATCAAAACCAACAACAAGATCTCCGACACCAGATTCTTATACAGTTTTTTTTGTTAATGGTTCATATCTGAACAAGTATTCGATATTTATGGGAATTGCTCATGTGTGAACATGGTGTATATGGAAAAAAAATCGTAAATGACACAAGTGTGCATATATGTCAATTTGTGTTTGTATTTGACACAAGGGTTCATATATGTTATTTTGTGTTCGTAATTGACACAAGGGTTCATATAGATCAAGTTGTGTTCATATGGTTGTATGAATGTTCATATATGTGAATTTATGTTCATATGATCACACATATTCATCATCTTTCGTATGTTCATATGATCACACATGTTTATCATCTTTCGTATGTTCATTTGGGTCAATATGTGTTCATATTTATACCAATTGTATATATAGGTCAATCTGTTTTCGTAATTGACACAAGTGTTAATATATGTCAATTTATGTTCCTAATTGACACAATGGTTTATATACGTCGAATTGTATTTATATGGTTGTACGAATGTTCTCATATGTGAATTTGTGTCATTCAACGATCGAACTTTGCTTATTTCTTTTTTTGAGGATCGACGAATCATTTGATATTTATATTCCAATTTTTGGGGCGTATCGCCCAAATCATTGGTCCGGTACTAGATGTGGCTTTTCCGTCATATAGTGACACATGTTCATCATCTTTCATATATGTCAATTTGAACGATACCGAAAACTTTTACTATCGGGTCTATGCATCAATCACAAATTCATAAACATTAGAGATAGAAAATCAATATTAAAAAAATAACAAGATTGATAATAAGTTAACACAAATCATGGGATTTTACGATTTTGTAACTCCCAATTAATAATATTACTAGATAAATTATGATTTGTTAAAAATAATTAACAAAATTAACACAATAGTTTGGATTAACATTTCAACCAATCTCTCTGTGCATATTTATTGTAATATGTGGATGATTAATCTCATTTGACCGAATGAATACGTGTTGCCTTTTGAATGGTGTTGGGTTCATTAAATATATGGAGGGTACTTCTTTCGTGTTTTAAATGCTTTCATCACATTATTTTCTTCCAACACCCTTTTTTTTCAATGTAATTCTTGTAGCTTATTTATGTCAATACTTCCATCCACGATTCAGAAAAAGTGACTACCAAAAATCTTTTAAGAAAACCAAATTTATATATAACATCTTTAGAATATCTCTAACAACTATGTTATTCAAATTTCACTTATGAGATTGAGTTATTATTTTTTTTAATAAAAAGTTTTTTTTAAATGTATTAAAAATCTGTTGGAAATGAATGTAATTTTTTTTTTTCCGAAATTTTATGTGTGTTTTTAAAAATGATGGAAAAACGGTTGAAAATAGTGTTAATAAATATCCGACGATTAATAAATGATGATGAGCAATATTAATAAATGAGTAATTATTTAAGAGGAAACATGTTGCGGTACTTTTGGAGAATGAAAAGAGAAACACAAGGCCCATTATCATTCATGGTTTTATCATGGTACCACCTTGGCCCTTCCTACTTCCTGCTATAATCAATATCTTAGGACGAGGGTATACTCGTCTTTTTAACTCCCCCTTTCTATTTATGATATGTTTGTTAAATTAGCAAATAAGTTAAATGTTGGCTGATAAATTAAATACGATTGATAAAAATTAGCTTGACAAATGTAAAAAGACAAAAAATTAGAAATTTAATAAATTTTAATATTTAATAGTATATTTTAAATAATTTACTAATAATATAAAATGTTAATCAATACGAACCAGATGGTAAGAAAATTAAATAATAAAATATATTAATTAATAAATTTCAATTTGATTATATATGTATAATATTTTTAAAAAATTGGATTTGTATAATCAAATGTAAATTAATTTTTTTTACATTAAATAATGATTTTAAATAACCATTACATCTATACTGTATTATAAAATATTTGACAAAAACTCTTAAAACTCATTTTTATGCATGAACTACTGTTTATTAATGTATGTTACTTAAAATTCAAGATTACAAGTAAATTGTGTGTAAATACAATGAATTCATATAACTAACTTCAGATAAATATAATCAAATAGAGTATAAATATTTTATTTTAAATATAAAAAAATTAAAATTAGGATAATTATTGAGTTCTAACAAAATACTTAATTATTATCTTTATAAAAATACTAGATTATTAAACCAAAAATAAAAAATTGAATTAGAAAAATACACAAAAAAGGAGAAATTTTAAATAGTTAGACTGATACTAATATCAACATTTTTATTTTATTTTTTTTATGATACTTTCATATTTATATTTTATCCAAAAATAAAAACATTATCGCTTTCTCAAAACCACATAAATCGTATTATAACATCGACTAGGACAAAAAAATGAAACATTAAAATCAAAATATATCTCGTTGCATTGTGCGAGTACCCTTCTGGTATAGTATAAATAAAAACAAAGTTGGTTCACGTTACATATTTTAAGTAATTAATAAATTTACAAAAAAATAATTAAAAATTAGATATTCTTTATTAATATATTTATCAGAATTTTGTTGCTTATGATTTATGAAACAAAAGAAATATATGTTTAACTTTTCTTTAGTTCACAAAAATATTTTTAAAATTATTATATTTGTTTTTTTGATAATTAAATATATTTAATAATAATTAGAAAGGTACTCGTACAATGTATCGAGACATATTTCGATTTCAATGTTTAGTTTTATTATTTATTTATGTTGATATAGTACGGTTTATGTGGATGAGAAAACGATAATGTTTTTATTTTTAAATAAAATATAAATTTTAAAATATCATAAAAATTTGAAAAAAAATATGGATATTAACATTAAATTAGCTATTTAAAGTTATTGTTCTCTATAATTTCTTTAATTCAAAATTTTTATTATAATTTAATATAATTTCATTTAAGTTTAATAATGTAATTTTGTATAAAAATAATAATTAAATATTTTGTTAGAACTCAATGATTATCCTAATTATATTTTAAATTTTTTGTATTTAAAATGGTATGTTTATCGTATATTTAATTATATTTATCTACAGTTAGTTACACGAATTCAAATATGGAGCTTTAATAAGTTGTACTTATGCATAATTAATTGTAATATTGAATTTTAAGTAATATGCATCAATAAATAGTATTTCGTGCAAAAAAGATGGGTTTTAAGAGTTTTTGTCAAATGCTTTATAATATAGTACTAGTAGTGTACCCGCGACGGGAGCCATGAATTTTAACAATTTTGAAGTTCTACTGGTTTTATAAAATAAGATTTAACGATGATATACGTTACACTCGGTCTTTACATATTAATATAATTTGAATAAATAAGAGTTATGGTTCCAATTACAGACTATCGATGAAAAAAATTGTATGACAGTTTAAAATCCAATATATTTAAA